ACCTCTCCATGCCTTGCATGCAGCTCACTCATCCACTCCTTTGAAAAATTATTATTATTATTATTATTATTATTATTATTATTATTATTATTATTATCCTCATCATCCTCATCGTCGTTTATTTACATAGCACCATCCATGTACATGATGCTTTACAAACAGAATAAGACATTTGTAACTATTTCAATATAAAATATTAAAACACGATGCACATAAAAAAAAAAAGCCACCACGCACATGAGCATGAAATGCAGAATTCTGCATTATTTGCAGGGAATTTGTTTAGGCAGAAATTAGAGTATTTAGCATCCCAGTTGTTGGGTTTGTTGGGTTTTTAATTCATAGATCCCAGTTGCTGAGACTTAACTACATAGAGCCCCCAATGCAGAAAAACAACAAATTACGGGTGTCACAATTGCTATGTTGTTATGTGCCCTCAAGTCATTTCCTAATAATTTTTATATATATAAATAATTTTATTGATTAAAATACCTTCCAATGAATATTTCAGTGGCATACGCTATTACTTGTAATTTCTTCTTCCAACTCAATAAAGCATATTTTTTTCCCAAGCTGTGCTAAGAATGCACTAGGGTTTTACTAAGTCTTTTCTAACCTTTTTCTCTCTTTTTTTTTTTAATTTTTATTACACCGTATATAATACACATTATACAATCATATTTCATATAGTAATTTTCTCCCCTCACCCCCCCCCCAGTAAGAAAACAGCATAGAGAAATTTACAATCAAATCTAATGAACAATCGATTTCGGAGATATGGAAAATATTATTGATTATCTTATTAACTTCTTCATACCCCATTTTACCTTTCACATTCTTAATTACTATTCCCCATTTATCTTCCCATGGTTCTTTATTGGTTTCTCCAATATATTTTAATCTTCTTTCCCTAAGGAAGTCAAATAATATATATTCTTTTATATATTTAAACAAATAAAACTTATTCCAATTGGATTTCTTCTTCCATCCAAAAGCAATCACTGCATGGGCAGCTTTTAGAAATTGTTTTATTACATATTTTTGATTATTATTCAATCCTAATTCCCCTAAATTGAGAGTCAAGCAATTTTCTTTACTTAATTGTATTTCTATCCCTACAATTGTATTTATCTGTTGATTAACCTCTATCCAAAATGTTTGTACAAATGGACATTCCCACCACATATGAATATATATTCCTTTAACTTCACATCCATGCCAAAATTTGGATTAAAATTTGTCATTTGTAAATGCTAATCGGTGAGGTGTCCTGTACCATTTTCCAATTATTTTCATTTGTTGTTCTTTCACATTTGTGTTTTTAATTGTTACAATTGCTTGTAGCCAAATTTTCATTTTATCTATATCTATCAATAAATCTTTTCCCCAGTTCATTGTCTTCTTGTAGCCAAATTTTCATTTTATCTATATCTATCAATAAATCTTTTTCCCAGTTCATTGTCAATCCCTCTATCATTCTAAATTGGCTTATTAACATATTCTTATAAATTTTTCCTATTATTCTTTTACCACCTTCTAATTTTTTTTAATTATTCCTTCTAGTAGTTCATTTTGTTCATCAATATTTAACTGTGTTTCATCTAGCAATTTTATTATCCCTTTTATTTGAATCCAATATTGCTTACCTATTAAATTAGTTAATTTTTCTTCCTGTATTTGTGCCCCTGTTAAATCATACAAATCTCCAGTTATTTTAAATCCCTTATTCTTTAATTTTTTAAGTATCTTTCCAAGATCTTCATTGTTACTTTTATTTAAATATTCAATTGGTAGCCATTTCCTATTTTTTATACCCAGGTTTTTACTCGACTTCTCCCATATTTTATAATTCTTTTCTAACTTTGTTTACATATGCAAATCTATACAAATCCTGCTTGATATCCACAGATTAATGCTGTCCATCGTCCAGCCATGATGCATTATAATTACCATTACTATTTAAATAATCCTTAAATTTCCACGTTGCCATTGTACCCCAACGTTTACTTATATATTCTATCTCCTGCTCCCAACTTTGGACAAATTCCCCATGTTTTTTGTATTTCATAAGACACGTCGTCTTATCCAATTCTGCCATTCCTACTAATTTTTCCATCCAATCTTGAATTTCTGGCATTGAATTTTCATTCCATTTTCGAGCAATCAACATTCTTGCTGCTGCAATTATATAGTGCAGTATTCTTGTTTTCTGCTTATCCAATCCTTCCCCTATCATACTCAAAAGGTACAATTAAGGTGTCATTTTAAATCTTAAATTTAGTATTTCTTCAATTTTTTTGTCTGATGTACGGACCCTCAGGTCATTTCCACCTTATGGTGACTCTAAGGCAAACCTATCATTGGCAAGATTGGTTCAGAGGAGGTTTGCCATTGCCTTCCCCTGAGGCTGAGAGTGTGTGACTTGACCATGGTGGGTTTCATGGCCAAGCTGGGAAGCAAACCCTGGTCTGCGAAGTTGTAGTCTAACACTCAAACA